AGATCTATGCCTTTGGATTTATCAGGGCTCTGGGGATAACAGACTACAGGCTGGATACCCAAACTGCTATTGTTTGGTACAAAAACAAAGCTCGCAGTGCTGTGTTTAGGGTATTTCTGACATTTGCAGTTTTACGACAGTATTTGATGATGGCTTTCAGAGAGGCATTTTCAAGAGATCAGAACAAAAGGGGCATTACACCAGTAATCCATCGCTTCTCCAAACTTTGCGCTCTAAAGCTTCCCCATTAAAGAATATGGTTGGTGTTTTTATTGGATTATTTATCTATTTTTTTATAAATTGTTTTTACGTCATGGTCATAATGGAAGCTTGGGCAGTATCAGCACATCAGATATCTGAAGCTACAGTTTCAAGAAAAAGACTAGTAAAAAAGTGTGGTCTGATCTTCATAGTTCACAGTAATAGTCAAACACAACCTGACTACAATAATGACACACAAACTCGCTTGTGTGCTTTTAATGCCTTTACTGAATAAAGTGACCAAACAGTCCCGGTGCCGGCTGAAAAATTTGTCCACATAAATGGAAAAAAAATGTTTGTTTTGGAGAGCACTCATTTTATTTGGCATGTCCTTCCCTTAACATCATTTTTATTCTGTGTTTTTCTTATACTGGGCACATGAACACAGATTTTAGCATCTCTGTGCAAGATGAATAATTTCTTTGCTGTTTTTGTTTTTTTCTTTTGCCAATGGGGTTATTTTTTACTTCTTTCATGGTCTTTGCAGGACACCAGCTCCTAGGGAGAGTAATAAGATCCTGAAGTTTCCCACTCATTGCCCTTTTGTCTTATTCTGGATTGATGAACAAAAATGGCTTTAAACATGCTTTTTAGGGTCATTTCCATCTTTCTGTTTTGGTATAACACTTTTTCTAAGATCATATAAAAGACTGGTTGTTCACCCCAAACAATCTTTTTTAAAAGCAGACTTCAATAACCATTCTTTGTAAGCCATTAGTCATAGGGAGGGACACTTTGACGACCCACACCCCTAATCTCCTAATCGCAACACATGACTCTAAGCGGACATTGGAAGAGACATTAGCATAGAGGTTACTTTTTCCAGCCTGCACTGTGTGATTACTCTGTGTGTTCAATAAAAACACGAAAAGCACAGCTAATTCAGTGTTATTTGTTTTGTCCGATTGTGTTTGTAATCGCGACATAGTTCAAGACTCCGTTTTACAGGCAATGAAAATGATCAGTATTTTTGTGCATGCAAAACTGAAGAAAAATATTCATCAGCAAGCACAGTGAGTACTGGGAACAGTCAAAGCTGGTCAAATCTGCTTCTCTCACATTCTCCAAAAGCAGTTCACCCCCCTTCCCCTGGTGTGGTGACAGTTTTGTATTACACTGAAGACACTCCACGCTCAGCATAGATTAGTTAAAGATTCCCTGAAGATTTTTATTTTTTATCTTCAAGAAATGAAACCCATTTATGTTCAGCTATTTTCAGTGGAATACATTTTGTTCATCTCCTACCTCTCAAAATTGGTGTAATGCATAAGTACATTTATTGTGAAGCCTTATGTCCAGAAGAACACATTACATTATGCAAGTGATTTTTCTAACACATCTACATGTCGTTAAAAACTCCTCTGGAGTGAGAGAATGGATGTTTATCGAGTCAGTCAGTTGTACTATTTCATTTCATATCTAAACTTTTCAAGGTCAGGGTCATGGGCTGGAGCCTATTCCAGGATACACTGGGCACCTGGCGAGTAAACACAGTGGCCCTCCATATTGAGAGAAACCAGGTAATACACTTGCCCATTTGGCATCATGCAAACTCCAAACAGAAGCACCTGGCTTCAGACTGGGGTTTCAGTGGCCATTAGGACACTGTTCTGCCAAAGAAGTTATCAGTGTTTGTTTTCACATACAGCTCATAACACTATTAAAGCAGAGGAATATAAAAGCAGGACTTCTGGTGGTTAAAACTGTACCCCAGTCCACCTAAGCTATATCTACTGATGTTTACTTTTCAGTGCACTTGTTCTGAACCTTCTGGGCTTGTGATTCTTAGACTTATTAAAAGCTGAAAATCTCTACTTGTGATCAATTTCAATAGGACTGCACTATTTTAATAGCACTCTTAAGTCCAATAGATAATTTAGTCCTCCCAGCAGGAATGTTATTAAAATATTGCAGTGATTTGTGTCCCGCTCTCTGCCATGTCCTTACTACACAGACTCACACAGACACGCACAGTTTGTGGGAGAGATACACACATGGCCATGCTGGAAACAAAGGTAGAAACACCAGGAACATGAGGGGAAAGAAGTAAGGATGTGGCAGAGATCAGGACACAAATCACTGCAATATTTTAATGATATTCCTACTGGGAGGACTAAATTATCTATTGAACTTAACCAAGTTATTAAAATAGTGCAGTTCTATTGAACTTCGCTTTTTTTTTAGGTCTTAATATCTAATATATCTCTTCTATAGTATTTCTATAGGACATAAATATAGCTTGGGTTGTATTTCTCATGTCTAGTTAATAGTCATAAAAATGTAACAGTGGGAAATAGAACATGCAACTATCCAGATTCACTCCTACAGTGGAAGGCATTTATCTCAGCCACATACCTTGTATGCTTTGTGTGACTTTCACAACCTGATGAAGTGTTATACCCAACAAGGCCCTGAGCGCTCTCCCCTACTGCCTAATGGCCTACTCTAATGGCTGTTTGTCTTGTTTCATTGTAATTGGGGGGCAACTGACAATGCAGCAAAGTCTCTGCTGTCGCTTTTTACTACTGAGATTCGTCTGCTGGCCCCCTCTGGGTCCTGTGCTTTGTAGGTACCAGTTTCTTCTCTAATGATATCATAATTGCTGTTTTCTCACACAGTGGACAATGGTTGCCAAGCCTGAAGGTGGCCTAGAAAATGAGCTGGAGATCAAACCGGGGACACCACGACAATGAAGATAGTGCAGATGCATAAAAAATAAAGACATACTCATCAAAGGAGAATGTATTGCGGTCCCTTTTTAATGCTGATGTGTCTCCCTCATTCTTTCCCTACCAGCCAAACCATATGGTTATCCACAATGCATCATTAGTGTAAAAAAGAAATGCAAATGTGCTTTCTCTGTGTCAGTCAATGTCACTGCAGTCAGTGTGTGTGTCCTTGAACAGAGTGTAAGAAGCTGAGATATTACCTTGACCCGTGTATTGATCCACACTGTTAGCCTGACATCCAGATGCACATTTACATACATGTACCAAGATGAACTAGCAATATTTTTCTTTTTCTTTTTTACGCTCCTTTCTTGAAAGGTCTGTTTCTACAATTAAAAAAAAGACCAGCTCCAGTCCTCTCAGCACACTCAGAAAAGTGAGATAGCGCAGCCAGCGCTGTTTGAACAATCATTTCTCAGTCCAGCTGAATTCATGCTGACGCTCCAGTTTGCTCAGTTTGCTTTCTGAAAACTCCCCTCTTCCTCTTTTTAATCCTCTGGGTGGTGAGGTAGTGAGATGGTGAGGGGGGGGTGGAGAAAGAAGGAGAGACCAGCATTGAATGCTGACAGGGACATAACTTGCCTACCCTGCATACCTTGTTTACAGTCTCCCTCCCTGCTGCCATACCCTCCTCTCTCAATGGAGCCATAAAAAACAAATAGGGGCTTTTAGAGAAATTGCCTGTGCACTGAAGATTAATAACAGTTGCACAAGTTCACCCAAGAAAGTCTCCAGAAGCAAAAACGATATTGGAAGATTAAAAGTGCCACATCCCTAAATTGGAATGATTCAGTGCTCGGGCCGCTCTCTAACCAGCTTATTGGGAGTCAGGGCTTTGGTCTACCTGCCAGACAAAGAGCATCATTAAGTATTTACTTCTGGATGAGCGTCTACTGCATGATGAGCTGAGGGTGTTATCGATCCCGCGTGTCTGAGATTGAAGTGGCCTGGGAGTTGTGGCAGGAGCACAGAAAAGACAGGTCATCCTGTTTGAGTGCAGGTCAGCTTTTTGACATTTGCAGCAGAGTAGATTAAAAAGAAGCGATGAGAACACCAATTTGCCTTACTGACATCAACAACATTGTAGATCTTTTGACGGGTTGTTTGACCCATTCAATGCACATTTACTATGCATTATCCCTTTATATTGAAGACTGTGGATTAACCCATCAACCAGAAAGAGTGGTAAGAGTTTGTCAAATCAGTAACTTTTGATGAACTTACTGCTTGTCATCAGCAAAACTGAGAGGCTGGTTGATGAACTAAGAAGAAAGGAGGACAAGATACACACCCCTGTTTGCATCAGTATGGCTGAGATGGAACAGGTGAGGCTCAGAATAGTAAAGAACCAGTCATGCTGCCATCCCATCTACACACTGGTGTAAGAAAGCTCAGACATGACCCCACCTCTTAAGGAAACCAAGGCTGATCATTTTAGTTGTTTTTAACATAGATGAGGAATAAAAGTCATGGCAATTGTAGACATCACAAGCCCATACAACCCAAGGCTCTGCAACAGGTCCAGAACATCACAGATAAAAGCATTAAATGAGGATGAGAGATGTCTGAGCCTGAAGGACTTTAAAATTATCGAGCAGTATCTTTTATAAGAATTTTTCACAACGACTGAATTCATCCTCAACACTTCACCATGAAAAACTCTGTTTTATTTTAAAAAAAAAAAAAAAAACATGTTTTCTAATCATGGAAAAACTATATCTGCATGCTCTTGAAATGAGCCATCTAATGTCCATCATGAAAAAAAACACACTAAAAATAAGTTATTTAAGAATAGCTCATTTTTATTTTATTTTTGAGTTTCCAGTAAGGTCAAGTAGCCTCGTTTCCTTTGTCGCTGTAACAGTATTATCGTAATAACATTATATATTACTAAGGGAAAAAAAACCCTAAATCTATTATTGTGAATATTCAGCCCCCGGTTAACCACGACACTTTGATCTGCATATTTTCAGCGGCGCCCCATAGTTTCTATGGTAACAAGGAGGCGCACACGTCTCCGGGGCAACCGGGTCTAAGCGTCTCAGAAGTTGATAGCAACCACTACAGAACGCAACAGGCGTCAAGTTTTTAGAGCCGCGTAGAATAATTAGTAATTGCAGCAACATTGCCCTTCGTTAATTTGGACTTCCACCAATAAAAGCTGTGGCAATGTCGATGAGGAGGAAGACGGAGCTAAACGCAGAGGGCTTCACCGTAAAGGCCACTTTGAAGAACGCAGTGGTGAGTGTAGTTGTTTCAGTTAGCACTAGCTATAATAGCAGTGGGGAGCGTTCATCCTGGAAGCCCAGGGATGGAGAATTTACGGTTTGCATTTTATAAGCAATTTTGTGAGAGAAGTGCCAAGCCCATTACGGAAGAATGTATAGAGCTGGTTACATACAGTTAGTCACATTGAATGTCATTATCATTGTAACTTTACCTGCTACAGCTGGAGAGAACTGGCACATAGTCTTATATTGAGGAAGTAACTGAATCTAATTCACCTCATTGGCTAGTTGAATCTCCTCTCTTCGCGATTGGCTTGTACTTGTCATGTTTCTTTACATTAAATAGTAAATGGACTTGTACTTATATAACGCTTTTCTGCTATAACTGAGCACCCACAGCACTTCTTTGACACACTGCTTTTATTCTATCCTTTTAAATGCTATGTCTAGCATTAAACACAACACAACTTTCTGATTAGTGGACAATCTGCACTACCTCCTGACAAATGTTTGTCTCTGTCTGACAAATGCTTAAATATGACTATAGGGATCTGCTAGAAATGGTGTTAGACACATTTTAACCAATTTAAAGTTATTTATAAACGCTATGGGAAAAGAAAACAAATGTTTTCAAGATATTGATCTAATTCCAGCTGAGATCATACTGCAGTTTTAGACTATTTAAGCTGTCATTCACAATTCAAAGAGCCTCCTGTCTGCTTCTTTCTCACACACATACTGATGGACAACTAGCAGTAAGGAACCTGGCAGTGACTAACAGCAGGGAACAGGTGACTGTCAAATTTTCAGAATAAAAGAACACAGTTGATCAAAAGAAGACCATTTTATCCATCCATGTTCTTCCACTTAGCCATTTAAGGGTTGCTTTAAAATTTTGTAATCTACTAAAAAAAAACACAGTTTCACACAGGAAGCGTTGCTGTTGATTACAGCCCGGATAAGTATAAGAGTTGAACAGTTATTTAGTGGATGTTATCATGATGCGTTCATGCTGTGAAATTTAAAAGAAAAATAAAGCAGCCACAGTTAACTTCAGACAATGAACACAATACTCAGATAATTTTGAAAACAGCAGACCTCAGTTATACACATTTATCCACTTTAGGGGGTACAGATTTTCAAAATAAATACCCCCTATTGATTTATGTTTTTAATATCAAGTGCTATCTCTCTTCAGCTTTTCAGTCTACCTATTTATCTCCAACTTTTTTGCAGCAAGCCACAGAGTCAAGACTGGAGGTAGCAACAATCCTACCGCCAATTTTCCAGAAATTGCATGGTCTGTTATTTTTTGCTCTGCGTCAAAATCTCTGTGCACAAATCAACCCAGAGAGTTGAGGTAGCAATAGGAAAAATCAGAATGCCTGAACAAACTCTTCAAACATTATTCTACTGTATCTGTCTTCTATGTATGTGTGTGTGTGCCTAACCCTTTTGGTCAGACAAGCCTGAGTGGGTTTCACACAAACATGGACATTTGGGAACTCTAAAATTATCCAATAACATTTATGGACTAAAATGACACGTATAAAGCCCATTCAGAAGCTATATGGCAATGATTAGATGCTATGAAACGCAGAAACCGTGTGCTAAGAAAAATGCAAATGCTGTTTTTTTATAACAGCATTTTCCTTTTATAGACTAACGGGCTTGTGGGGTGGTGGAGTTGTGTGTAGCACGTGGTTTGAGCTTAAAAGCTTATAGTTTTGTTTTTGATTGCCTTGCTACAAATAGAAAAGGAACTGCATTTATTTTTGTACTGCTTCTTGTCTTACACTGAGAAAAACAAGAAACCTCCTGAATCTTGATTTCCTTGTCGAGAAGTCCCTATTTGGGACCTCAAGTGTAGTTAAACTGTTGAAGGGCTTGACTAATTTCCAAAGAAAGACTTTCTTCTTCTCATTTACTGCAAATGAAGATGGATCAGGAACGTGTAATAGGTTGTACGGCAGTGGACATTAGTCTCTATTGACTTCATGGACTTTATTGATTGGTCAGTAAAACTAGTTTTTGTCTGGCTAGAAATAGATTATTATTTAAAATCCAAATCTAATTTTATTTGGGCTGGACTGCTTATCTTTTCTTTATCAGTTCCCTGAAATAACAGTGAAAGATAAAGCAGATAGACTCATTGCTTTAACTATATGCAGAACAGTGTGCCTAATCAGATGCATAATAATGACCCAAATGTATGTGGTATACATATAGCCATGCATATGCACTTATGCTTGTTTAATTAAAACATTGTCAAACTTTCAAAGAATGAGGCCAGAATTAACACTTTACAGTTTTTTTTTTTACTCTTGGGTCCATGTTATGTCAAAAAAGGTAGAAATCCCAAAAAGGGTGATCTTATTGGTCAAGCCTTCTGTTTACAAATGGAAGCAAATGTAAAGGAAGTTGGTAAAAGGCTGAATGTGTGTTTCACACAAAGGATAAACTGCACCAACGACCAGCACAACATAAGTAATGATTCCTTTTGAATGCTGAGTGCAAAGCTACTCTAGTCCAACAATAAAAATTCAGAGCTAAAATGAGCATAATAGGTCTTCTTTAAACAGAAGCAGTGGTGTCATAGTCACACATTGTCAGATTACTTAAATGTAGCTTTAATAAAAGTTGCTCCAGTTCACCCACGAAAAGTCTCCAGAGTCAAGCAAGGCTGGAAGATTAACTGGAATGATTCAGTGCTCAGGCTGCACTTTAACCAGCTTGTTAAAAGTCAGGGTCTTGGCCTACCTGCCAGACAAAAAGGATCATTAAAGGTAGGGTGTACGTTTGTAGAAGCCAACAAGAGTAAACTATATTTTTTGAAAGCAAACAGCCAAATGATCCCACAACCTTCCCCTCCCTCCTGACTTCAGGAGCTTCTGCTCTGTCATTGTAAATACAGGGTGTATCAAAAACAAAAAACAAAACCTGTCCCTTTTCAAAGGGCTATTGTTGCCTTTACAGTCGTTCTCAGTTGGCACAAAGGCAGTGGCAGCTGGTTAAAGGCAAAGCATGTCAGAGGCAACCACAATGTTTATATTTTGCTTAAATCTGACTGTTTTCCCCCGAAACACTCTGACAATTAGCCCTATTTCCTAGAGAACACAAAGCTCTTCATTAGAGCTTATTTCTTAAAGGGTGCATACTAAAAAACATGACAATATGCTGAATGACATGCTGAATTAGTAAAAAAATGAAAACTTTTCTTTCATTTGTAAGTTCAAAGAATTCCTTACATTTAGATTTATTGTTGTAAAGCTGTTATGTTGACAGCTTTGAGTTGGTTCATGGCCGTTTATGGTACTGTATTGGAAAGTGTGGCATTCTTGAATGAATATGAGCATCATTTTAAAACATTTTGTCAGAAGGTTTTTGGTTCTCAGGTCTGAGACATCTTGCCTATATGTGATGAATATTTGCAGAAGGGCCGCACATTTCTGATGACAACGACAAATACTTGAACCTGAAGCCACAGCTGCCTTTTATTTTTTTGTAGCCGCGTCCACCTTGAGATGCAAAAGAGGCTGTGTAGAGCTATCATTGACTCGCTCTTCCTTTCTTGAAGGTCATAAACAAATCTGTTGTCAAGAGCTTTCATGAGGAAGGCTCCTGCAAAGCCCTTTAATATTCACCATCTCCCCAGAGGATCTGCTGTGTCTGGAACATGAATGATGCGCGCACACCGGCATACCACTGGCTAAATCTTCAACAAAAACCATTACATTTTTCAGGGGCTTGCTTGTGTCTCTTGCTCCCTGTTTTTTTTTTTTGTCCCCCGTGGTCACGGACATTTCACTCCAGAGAGGGCAGCTTTGCGGAGAGCTGTGATTTGTAGGTAACGACAAGGCCATTTCAAGCCTTGAAAGGGTATGGGGACTTGAAGCATAGGCTTATTATGCTTTAAAGTATTTGTGGTTATAGAAATTGAATCAATAGCACAGGCCCCTGAAACCCTTCCACCGTTTTTTTTTTCTTTTTTCCAGTGATTCATCCTCAAGCATTTAAAGAGAAACAAGATGCACTTTACATTCTGGTGGGAGGTCGTCACTGTACGCTTCATACAGAGAGGGCAACAAAGCTGTTATTTTCTGTGTCAGAGGCTTATTCTGCCTTGATGACAAAAAGAAAAACCCAAAACAAACAAAAAAAAAAACCCAAGAAAAAAATAACAGGTTGGAGAGAGACTGCAAACAGCTGCGCAGTGCAGAAAAATGAATGGATATGACTACACACACTTTACATGGAAAGTAATGCCCCCAAAAATGGTGTGAGTGAATGATACACATCACAAATTATTTTCAGCATCGTATGGAAATATTTTTGTCATAAAATATTGTCATAAAAGAGAAATAAAGCATAAAAACAATAATTAATATACTCTTCCACCACATTCTTTACATATATCTTTATATATATCTGGCACAGGTGTAATCAGTCCTTAACAGTTAGAGCTTAGTTTTTCGTTCAACCGTTTTAAAACACAGTTAGCATCTGGCTCGTTAGTGCTAATGCTTCGCACAGTGGAGCTATGAACTGTATTTGGGATTATGATTCCAAACTTTGTGGCACACGTTGTTCTGAGTGGCAGAGTGTCCCGTTATCTTTGCCTCACCTTCTTCCCTGTCATAAGGAGAAGCTGCTTGAGCCCTTGAGTTTTTGGTTCAACTTTGAGCTCCTGTTCATCACCTATGCTGTGGCTGAAACGAATGACAGAGCAAGTATTGCAGTGAAATTCTGGAGATTCACAAAACTAAGTATCTATGTATATACTTGGTAGAAGCAGATTTCTGTAGTCAACCTTGTTTGAGTTGTCAGAGTCAGAGATGTGGGCAACCAGTCAAAGGTGTTTAATCAGGGCATGTTATTACATCTCGCTGCATGAATACCATTCTGAAAATAAAAACATTGGTCAATAACTATTGAGCTCACAGATCTGTCTTCTGGGTTGGGTATTGATTTATCGAATACTGAAGATTAAATTAGAGTAGAATATATGACCTC